AATTTTGTGGAGGAATTGAGTTCAATGTAATGTTCAGGCGTTTTCCATTGGCATGGAAACTGATTTTGTGTTTCAGTATCTTTATTTGGCTTTCTGATGGGCAGAATGTATTTGAAATCAAACTGCTAAGTAATTTACTTTTATATTTTGTAGCTGTTGATTGCAGAGGGAACGAAGTGTTCCTCTGACATTATAATTTCCCCTTTTGTGATGCTGTGCAATTTTGTGAGGCTTTTTATATCGAATGGGTTTTGAGGGAATAATACATCTTTATATAGATAGATAGATATCTACATAGATAACACACCTGTTACATTTAAAAAAAAAATTTAAGGAGTGTCACAAGAGCCCACTTAATGTATTTGTAAATGGTGTTTTTGTCATTTTGATAACTATATAGGTATTAATCACACTAGTTTACCTGTAAACACTGTTTAAAAATGTTTATTCTTATCCATGCAAGAGTATACAGATAAATTTATCTCAATTTGAGAATATTTCAGGCTTTAATAAAAATGAGTGTGGATCTAAAAACTGAGTATTTTAAAAACTGAAAATAAATGCAAGTCTTAATGTGCTTGATATTAAAATAATACCTTCTTTTTTGACAGAAAATGTGGATAATTATCATTGTGTCATTGGTGTTGATTGCCATAATTGGTCTAATTATTGGTTTGTCTGTTGGTATTCGATGATGCTTGGATAACCTGAGCATGCATGGCTTCCTGCCAGTGTGGCAGTAAGTAACTAATCAACTAATTTTGCTCCTGTTTTGCTCTGGTAACTTGTACTGTTCTGCTAACCCTTACTATGTGCTAGGTTAGCATTGGAGGGGTAGGCTTGAGATGGGTGGGATCTTCTCTCTCTCTGCTTGCTCCAAAAGTGCTGTGCATGTGAATGTTGCAAACTGACATCTAGTGGTAAGCTGCTAAACTTACGGAATGCAGTCGCTACATGAGACTCCTAAACACAGAAGGAAGAGCACAAATCCAGTTACTCTCTTGCATTCCTTTGATTTTTTTGTTAGTACTGGAAGTTCACATCAACAAACAATCTGCACTAAGACACAGAATACACTTGAAACTTTATCCAATGGGTTTCCTATGATTTTAAGTAGAGCTTTCATAAAAGTAGCTGTCTGCAACCACGAAGCTCGCTGTTTTGCCATGCAGAACACCCTAACATATTTTTACTTTGAAACTGTTTAATACTAGATCAAATGAAACAGTGGGAAATAACAATGTATTTGTAAAAGGAAGTCTACAGAGATTCCAACTGGAATTTAAGACAAAAATTTGAGAATTCTTTCAATCTTCAGATTTTTGCTGTACTAACCTACCATTTCTTGTCAAGATAACACCTAGCCAGGCTAAGTAGGAAATAGCAGTTAATGCTTCTGGGTCCAATAGAAACTCAACTTTTTACATGTATCTTCAAGCTATATATGAAGTACTAGGAGCAGAATGTAATTCCATACAGCTAATGAGGAATTCAGTTTTCTGTACTAACACTCTTAATATCAAAGTTTTTAGTTTTGATAGTAGTTTCTTCTCAGCTTTGGTTTAAGGGCCGATAACAAGATTTATCATATCATTGCTTATAGTCAGAAATACCTGACCTACTGTCAGGCTTTGATGCATTTACACAGAACCCATCTCTTCCTGTTTTTGTTTTTGTTTTTTTCTTTCCTTTTCCTTGCTGCTCCTCTGAGCTATTATCTACCTGATGTTTCTACTGACGTTTTATTTGAATTCCACTAAGTGTGCAATTATAAAGGCTTGAGCAAGGCCTGCTCAAGCTACAAATATTTATCCAAGGAGGGTGACAGTAAGGAATGTTACTGTATTTAGACTCGACCTTGATAAGGAAATGTTCACTATTGCATCTGTTTCTATGCATAATGATATTTACAGAAGTTAGGTATGAGTAATAAAAATTATTTTATGAAGCAAAATACAGAAATGTTAAGATAGCTCTATCTTGTAACTCTGGTTACAAGTCTGTTAGGAAAGAAAGACTAACAACAGGAAATAATAGCAGTAAGTATTCTTTAGGAAAAAAAAATCCAAACTTTCAGATTAGGTATCAGTATTAATAATTTTTTTATGGCTGTGCATGAGTTTAAGTAGTTCTATGTCTGACAAGGTATTTAAATCTCAATGTTTCTCTCTTTTTTGCAGAAATTGATGTTCATAATTATATGTGTAACTATATTGCTTCTGATACTTGGAATTATCCTAGCAACAACACTATCATAGCAAGCACATTCCAAGAGTTACGAACCTGCAGAAACTCCAAAATATATCTTCAGTAAAACCAAACCTTTTTTAATAAATGATGCCTTACGCTGTTCCATGATGATGACCTACAACTACTGGTTAAAAATTAAAACAAAAGTCACTCTTAATGTTTACTCATAAATGAAGATCACTGTGTATTAGGATATGTATGGGTTTTCATCATAAACTACACATTTGTAAGACTGAAACTTGCTCTTAATTATTCTGAACGAAAGGATTTTTTTCGTATCTCAGTGTTAACAAACAGTTTAATAGGGAGTTGAGAGATATGAGTTTTGACTGTTTGGCTTTTTTTTTCCCCATTGCTAATATAATTCTAACTACGAATTTTAGTACCATACCAGTGCTGCTTTTGTTAGCACTCTTATGAATATTTTTGAGATGTAGCCTTGTCTTCAAGCGTATTAATTATTCAGTCACTCTAACCTATCTAAGCTTTATACTTAAAAACTTCTTCTCCAGCAAGTACTAAAATATTTTATCCTGAGAAGACTACTTATTTAACTGTCTGCCTATTGCATTACACTTGAGGAGGAAAAAAAAAAGTTTTTAAATTTTTTTTCTTTCAATGCGACTAAGGTTAATTGCTTTAAGTATTTCCTTACCTTTATAATAAAAAGTTAGTTGGAACATTTCTAGCAAAAGAATGTAGTAATGAAGCACACTGAATTTGAACTCGAACAGATAATTTTACAGATAATACTTGTGCAAGGGAAACTGATGGATATGAACATGACAAAAATCACACTTTTTCTCTGTAAAGCCAAGTCAAGATTTCCTTTTCAGAAGCTTGCTAATGTTGATGTGTGAATATAGCACATAGGGATGGGCTCCCTCAGAAAAAGTCTGAAGCATATTACAAACTAAGACACTGATTTGTTATGAAATTGATGTGTTATATAACATATATGAAGTGTTTTAGTATATACATACCTATTGTAATGCTAGCTTGCAAGACTTGAAAGACTTCAAATGTAACCAAATAACTGCATTTAATGTTACAGTTATTTTTGTATTTTGTGTGTAAAATATTTGTAACTTGAATTTTTAACTCCTCATTGTTTAAGAATATCCATGTAGATATGTAGATATATTTACACTGTAAGAGAATTAGAGGAAAGTATAATGTGTGCCTTTTTAAACACAGTCTAAAACTACATTTGTCAATGTTTCCCAAAGTTCAAGTATAATGTTAACTGCAATAACTCGGTCCTAAAAGGTTAGAATCCTTAAACTTACATCTGAACGTGACTGAGATCAAAGTTACTCAGTAAACTATAATTCAGTCTGTTGACGTAATGAAATTCAGCAAAGTTTACAATTTATATTGTATGTATGAATATTCCTGCTTTGCTGTCCAAATATACTGTGAATGTGCTGGAGCTATTCAGATATCAAACATGGGGTTTTTTAAAAAAAAAGAAAAAAAATAGTGTTTTTTGCAAGTCTTAGCCATAAAGAAGTCGCTTGAAAATTTTCGGCTTCACTAATGAACAAATCTCTTTACCTCTAAGTCCAGAACACTCACCA